CTTAGGATTTATAGAATGTAAATAAATTCAATTCAATTCAATAGCCATAGGCACAATCTCTGGAAGTCTTTCACACATTTCAAGACAGATACTCTCACTAGGTTTCTGTAGGAGTCCTTTCATACACTTAGATAGTGTGTCGAAGCTGAGGTCCTCACAGCAGCAATTATGAGGAGTACCATCTTCTGGGTTGTAAGAGTGCGTAGTCCAGCATAAGTTCACTGACATTTTTGAGGCATCTATTGACTCCATATTGAGGGTCTAAGGCTAGATCACACAACAAACCGGTAAGAAGTTGGCGGAAAACAAGCATCTTGCTGATTTCATACTTGGCTTACTCTTTGACAGTGAAGATGGAGGTGATGTGCTCCTCTGAAATGTCAGACTCGCTCCAAACTACATGGTGTCAGAATCCAGAAAACTGTAGTCTTTCCATGGAGAGCAGCTTCCATCACACACTATGATGTACTCTATTCCCTTTAACCTTTAANACAGGACGGCCCTTTAAATTCCGGTAATGGCAGCGGGACGGATTTGATTTAAATACCCGCAATTTTAAAGCAATAAAAACTGTAATCATTTCCTAAAATTGCTGTGATTTCTACAATTTTTGTGATAAACGAACCAAATAAATGCTGTTTTTTTTTCCAGAAAGAATATAGAATCAGATATTGTAATTTACAGACTTTATAAAATGTGTAAAAATTATTAGACTGATTCCAAGTACAAAATTCCCAAATTTGTCATCTGTCTACAAGAATTCATACAGTTCTTGGAACTAAGAATGCTGTATGTAGATGTGGCAACACAGCGGATGGTTATGTAGACATGTTTAGTCTTGCATGTCTCGAAGCTTATACACGTACCTTCTTTTGGTATGCAGAGATCNATCTCCGTTTATAAGAACGTTGATTGTTTATACACAACAAGTTCTCTGTACTGACCAGGCTCGGTTAATTTATCACAACTCTCAAGGCCAAGCACAGCCAGACAGTGTCATTGAGCTTCAAAGTTTCGCAGCGAGAACAGTGATATTGTCAGCTCACCATGGCGTCGTTTCGTTTGGAAGATTCAGACATTTTTCAACTCATAAATGACTCCGAATCAGATTGTTTTACCGACAATTCTGAGAGTGGCGTTGAGGAAAGTGATTCAGAAATGGATTTCGACGAAGACCCATCATCTTCGTCGGCAATCTGGGGACCACCACACCAGCGTGGCAAGAGGAGTGTGAATAATTATTCAGGTGGAGCTGTGGGGTTAAATACCAATGAAGCTCCACACATGAATAATGATTCCACCCCTTTCTGCGTTTTAATGCTCTATTTCGTAGGGATTATCCGTCTGCTGGTGGAAGAGACGAATAGGTACTACCATCAGCACATAGACAGACGTCAAGACGGACCTTCTCCGCGGCCTGACGTGACCGAATCCGAGATGTTTCTGTTTCTAGAAATAATCATTCAAATGGGACATGACAATAGAGGCAGACTAAAGGACTACTGGTCGACTCTAGAACAATTTGCCACGCCTTTCTACTCTTAGACAATGAAACGCGACCGTTTTCTACACATTCTTCGTTTTCTTCATTTTGCAGACAACAGTACAGAAATTGACAGGAATGCCGACAGTTATGACCGACTATAGAAAATTCGGACCATCTTCGACACTCTCAATGACGCATTTGAAAAATATTATAACCCTTCCGAACATTTGGCTATTGACGAAATAACTGTAAAATACAAAGGGAGGGTGGTTTTTAGGCAGTACATTCCTAAGAAACACAAACGTTTCGGAATCAAAATCTTCAAAATTTGTGACGCCGCTGGGTATACTTATGACATGAAAGTTTACCTAGGAAAAGATAGGACACGTGCCAGACAAGACGTGACAGCGACACATGCTACAGTTAGGGACCTATGCAGACGTATTGAGGGCGTAGGTCACAAACTGTACATGGACAATTTCTTTTCTTCACCCGACTTGTTTGACGAACTGATGACAAAGAACATAACGTGCTGGGGGACAGTCAGACCTAATCGGAAGGGCTTGCCTGACGATTTTCGACGAAGACAATTTCGACTGAAGAAAGGGGACATTCATGTTAGGGTGAGACAGAACATGACAGCACTAGTTTGGAAGGACAAACGTGATGTTTACACGCTGACAAATATGCACTCTCCTCCAGCAGAAGGCAGTTTCTGTGATGAGCACGGAAATGCCATCAAACCATCAGTTGTTGTGGATTATAACACGCACATGGGTTATGTCGACAAAGTGGACAGAATGGCAAACAGTTATAGCATCTGTCATCGAACCTGGAAATGGACAAATAAATTATTTTTCCATCTCCTGGATCTGACAATTCTGAACAGTTATATCCTGTTGTCATCCTGTGGCGCGAAATTGTCACACAGAGAATTTCGTCTCGCCCTTGTGCGAAACATGCTGGAGCATGCTGGAAGGGGCCCCCCTCGCCCTCAACGGCCCAGGGGTCGAACCCCTGCTGTTTCATCGGGGTCATTTCGAATAGAGGAGGCCAAACAGCAGCACTGGCGGACTTCCTCTACTTCGAAATTGAGGTGTCGAGTGTGCTCTTCGCGTGGGAAACAAAGAACCGTCCGGATAAAGTGCGTGAAGTGTGATGAGGGACTCTGCATTTCCGGATGGTTCCAAGATTTCCACACGAAGCCAACATTCCGTTAGATGACGCAGGTGGGAAGAGAGACAACTTATAAAGCTGGTGACCAAAAATCATGCAAGTAGAAAAAGAATTTATAACTTAAAATTAGATTTTAAAAAGCCAGCCGCACGCGTGGACTGCGCGACAACATATGGTGTCATTTGTCCCCTTGACTTTATTTTAATGATGCCATATGGCATCGCTTGGCTCTTAAAGGTTAAGCTGTGAAATAACTAAGATACTTGGGAGGAGAATCTTCAAGCTGATGATGAGATGAACCTTCGCCTACTTCATGTCAGATGCCTGTTCTCTGTTATTTACATTTAGCCTCCATCACTTCACTTTCAGCTCTCAGAAACCATGAGCTACACATTCCGGCAGTTAGTTCTGGACTTTCCCCATTTTTCTTTGATCTCCTGGCACACTGTAAAAATGTTCTTATATTCATACAGTGTCCACTGTAAATTGCATGTACACAAATAAAAGACAATGCTTTATCCTTACTTTAGAGTTAGAAAAGGTGATACTGAATTTGTGCGCAAAAAATATATTGATGTTCCTAAACTTTGCAGACATTTAGTGGTTAATTTTTCTAAGATACATGTATGCAAACATTCTAGCCATGAGCTATAAAGATTTTGTCTGAATAACTGCCACAGCTAAAGACATTTAATTTATTATAAAACACAAATAAACAAACATTCAGTAATCTATACATACACAAATTTCCACTTAGGGAGGAGACAGAAGATTGGAATCCAGAAAGGTAGGGTGGTGGATGGAATTGTCTCGTGGATTCTGGAAAGGATAGAAACAGATGAATGTATTACACAAATTGACAGGAACATAAAAGGAAACAAGTAATACAGGTTTAGAGGATAACACCTACATAATACTTGTACAACAAAATCAAGTCTTGAAGATTAAAAATTTTCAAGTCACATGATACTGTTTGCTCGCTGTGTTGCAGTTTCTGCCGGTTCATCCTTAATACACTGTGTTTTACCGTACATGGAAAATTAAAATGTATGCTTTCTACCATGAACTAAAATTTAAGTTGTATCTGGGATCTGGAAGTAAATGCCATTCATATGGAAACCAATGGCAGTAACACCAGATTTAAAAACTTATAATAAAATTTATCTAGAAACACATGCCTTCTTTATGAAACATATATGTTTCAACTTGATTCAGCAATACCCAATGTTACTAAGCCACCATTACCGCTGTTAGTCATAACCTGACCTGACATCTCTCTTCCAAGTCACAAGGTTACAGGCAGCCTACTGACATCCGGTGTACGGTGACTTCATTTTCTGTCAAAATTGTCCAAAACATTAAATCTCAAAATCTTCCTGTTATCATCACATTTCTTTGACTACTAAACGAACAATACATAGATACAGATTTTCAAAACGTGAAAAAAATGTGTTCACTGGCTTCAGGAGCAACTGAAAATATTCTTGGACATCGTCAAGAAGCTCATGATCTAATGCAACAAGTGTTGGAGGAGAGGAAATGCTAGGCATGATATGCTATACATGGATGAACACTTTCATGAACTTTTTAATGTTGCGTATTGTAGTAAAAGTTTTGAAACTGGTCCCCAGAAATGTAACTTTAAAAATATTTAATGAATTCCGTTTCTCTCGAAAGCTTCAGGTATTACACAACTAGGATTTCTGATTACTGCTTTTCCACTGGATATGTCTGAATGGGATAATTTTCAGCTCACAATCACTGAGACAACAAACTGTTGCTTTTATACTTATGAAACTTTCAAATATAGGATACCCACTACAGCAATTTGCCTTTTGGAAACACAGGCATGTGTACACATCCTATACCTACAGAAAACATGCATACAGTGTACTCAAATGAAGACAGTTAATAAACGTCTGGGAATCCATTCTGGAGATCACTGGTCTAACAGACAATCAATTAAAGGCAATTTAGAATAACAATAACATATTCTAGTTGTCATTAAATGGTAATAACCAACATTCAATAGTATTATCACCCACTGTCACATTTAAAATGGCTTCAGTGAAAAGACTTAAAACTTGTCAATCACTTTGCAGGCAAACCCTTACAAGTTTTTATGTATTACCTAAATAAGAAAATATGTGTTAATCAAAATAAATAAGTAAAGGTTATGTGAAAATGAACTGTATACAAAATATATGATATATATTGAATATTCCAGTAATTCAGAACTTTTTCATATCTGATTGGGGCACTTGCTGATGGACTGAGATGTAAGAACTGATTATGGCTGTAGCTAAAGTGTTGGTGGAACTCGCTGTAATTGTAACAGTTGCAGACATACTGTAGGCTTACTGAGGAGGGGCTGCACTTGACTCTGCAAATTTGACCCCTGTTCATACTCTTCATTAATATCCCTATGTTATCAGAAGTCACTGACATTTCAAAAATACAAACAAGAAGTTCTGGGAGGAACAACGGACTACTTTCCTTTAATATGACCTGGACCAAACAGAGAGCCAAGAAACTAGGGGGGCCACCCAGACAGTAGGCCAATCTACATGTCCTAAAAAGAAGGGAATGCACACACGCACACAAAACACCATTAATTCCATGGAAATATAACTGTTGTACAGCCATGACGCGATACTTTGGGTTTAGGTTATGGTATTTCCTCCACACCATACATAAATGTTACACGGCCACGACCTGATTTTCTGGAGATAAATTGTGGAATTTCCTTCATATCACATGCAACTGACAAACTGTTCATTCCATGGCCTTTTATGTGAATGTTAACTATCTGAATCTGGTGAGTTGCAAGGTTCATCAACGTGCCATGTGGACTCAGCCTCACACCACCCAAAGACACTGAAAAAGAAATTAAGGGGTGATCATTGAATAAGAGCATTCATTTCGAGAAGTTCCACAGTGTATGGTGTGAAATTACTTACCCCTGAGGGCACACACTGCGGACCTGTTTCCCAGTTATCGAGGGCGGTAGTTGCCTTATGGCCACATGGATTCATGCCTTTCAGCTTATGGGCCTCCACACAGAGTTCCTTTTGTTTCTGGGCTTCTTTTGGGTTGTAGTTGTAGTCTGAGCAGAGGAAGAATGATTTTCAGATTGTACCTTTCCATTAAAAATTACAAAACGAATTTATAAGCAGCTGCTAAGCAGCCTCCTTAGTCTAGAGGAGGGGTCTCCAAACTTTTCGAACCGCAGGCCACATTAGGTAATTCAGCACTTTCAACGGGCCGCACAAAATGAGAAATTAATAACTCTGGGTATATGAGTTTTATTGAAAGCACAGAATTTCATAAACAAAATACAAAGTATGTGAGCATAAATTATCGTACATTAATGACAACACACAGTAGCAGCAAATGCTCATATTTTCAACACAAATTATAATGAAACAATTAATGTGAATGCTGGAACTCTTTTTGCATTCTTAAAATCTGATTAAATTGAGGTTCAAATTTTGAAACGCTAATCACAAGTAGCGACTTTAAATGTTCATCGGATAAATTTGCCCGGTATTTCGACTTGCTGTACTTCATCTGGGAAAAAAGTGTGTTCACAAAGATACGTCTTCCCAAAAATGGAGATAAATTTACAAGCAAATTTATTTAAATTTGGATATCGCTCAGAGTTCAGAAACTTATAGAATTCGATCAAATTTCCTTCCTTGTATTTGTCTTTAATATGATAATTTTCATGAAGTTCAATACTTTCCATCTGAATTTGACTTGAGACATCTGCAGCATCACAGTCAAACGGATTTTGAAACAATCTAATTTCCTGAGCACTGGAATCCAAATCAGCAATTCGCTTCCGAAATTGTCTTTCAAATCAAAGTGTTGTGGCGTGTCTGCTGACAGTCAGAACTTTGAAGCCAGGAAGACGGCAGCTACTAGGGAACGGCTCTGAAAACACGGCTGTTGCTAGGCTACCACTGTGTAAGCATGCAACAGTACCAGAGCCATCTCTAAGCAATATGTGCACGCAACAATGGTGGAACTGTGGGAAGCAGTGTTGCAGTAGCCGATCCCAGGATCAGCTCGGGAACCCAGAGGAAGGTGAACGTGACAGAGAACACTAGTCTGTGTGATAGCGATCTGTAAAGTGCAGTCATGAGTTGTGTCTATTAATGTGTCCAATAAGCCCAATTACCAATCCAAACCCAGTCTATCGTCACTCAATCACTGAAAGTTCGCAAATTCTGCAAGTAATATTTACATTAGAGGAAATGTTAATGTCCTCTGCTTAATGAAGCACTAAGCTATGTAGGTGTATGAACACATTTTTAACCTCGGCATTAGACGGTGATGGGTGGTCATTCCAGGCACATTACTGCTGAGGAAATCATCTTTGGCACCCACTGGTTACAGTGTGCTGGGTGGACCAGTTAGCCAATGTGGATGTGGTAGCAAAGAGAACAATTCCTGCCCTGCCTGAAATAGAGATCTAGTCCCCTGCATGAAAATATTTCATCCTGTACATGGTATGTTCAGAAAGTATCGAACCTTCTTTTTTCCCGGGTAAACCAATGAAGCGCGGGAGGCTCCCTTCGGTGGAGATGTGGAGGGGATATTCATGCACAGTCGTGAATTTTTTTCACTCCCGCAGAAAGCGTCAGTTGCTGGCAGTCGGCCTATGAGTGAGGACGTGTACTGAGCGCTCGTCGGATTCCAGTAAGGTGTAAAATGACGGAACAACATGAGCAGCGATATTGCATCAAATTTTGCCAAAACCTTGGCGATACCCAAGTGGAAACCATTCGCAAGATTCAACAGGCTTTCGGGGACGATGCCATGAGCAACTCACGGATAAAGGAGTGGTACAACCGCTTCAAAGATGGCCGCACATCAGTGGACAGCTAACCGCGTTCAGGCAGACCCTCAATAAGCCGAAATGAGAATGTCATTGAGCAAGTGCAGACTTTGGTCATGGAGGAATGTCGTGGAGATAGGGGTAAGCATTGGATCGGTACATTCAATTTTGACTTAGGATTTGGGCATGAGGAGTGTGTCCGCAAAATTCGTACTGAAACTGCTAACAATGGAGCAGAAGCACAGGACATGCTGGACAATGCAAACAGTAACCACAACTTTCTGAACACAGTGATCACAGGTGATGAGTCGTGAGTTTATGGGTACAAACCGGAAACCAAGATGCAGTCATCACAGTGGAAACTTCCGACATCCCCGAGGCCAAAAACAGCACGTCAGGCCCGCAGCAATGTCAAGGTCATGTTGGCGGTTTTCTTCGACTCCCATGGGGTTGTGCATCATGAGTATGCACCACAAGGCCAAACCATCACAAAAGAATACTACTAGGAGGTCCTTCATCACCTTCACAATGCTGTGCGGCGCAAACGACCAGATCTGTGGGCAGCAAATCTTGGCAGCTGCATCATAACGCACCCGCCCATTCTGCGCATCTGATTCACATTTTCGTCGCCAAACACAACATCCCTGTGGTTCGTCAGGCTCCCTACTCCCCCGACATGGCTCTGTGAGACTTTTGGCTATTTCCCAAGCTGAAAATGCCGCTGAAAGGAACCCTATTTGAGTCAAGAGAAGACATCATGCGGAATGCGACGGCCCAGCTGATCACCATTCCAAAAGACGCATTCCAGAAGTGTTTCCAACAATGGTGGAAGCGCTGGGAGAAGTGTGTGCATTACCAAGGAGACTACTTTGAAGGGGATTAGGATTTTGTACCTCCAAATCAATAAATGTATTTCTGCCGACCAAAGGTTCTATACTTTTTGAACACACCACGAACGTTTACAAAAGCCAGCTCTATGTCAAAGCACTCCACATCAGATGACAGATCCATTAAGCTCTTCCCAGGACCTGTTCATGGCCATGGGAGAAGGTTTCTTAGTAATTTTTGTCACATGACTGCTCGAAAGCAAGCACAAACTTCTAAATATGCGGTTAATTTTTAACTTTCATAAAAACTGTCATCTTTAACACAAATATGTTGATATGTGTTCAATTTTGTTCAGTAATATGCAGCACATAAAACCAATACAACCATACCAACATACAANATGGAGAAGATCAGTTGGACCGATTATGTGAGAAATGAAGAAGTGTTAATTAGAGTCAGTGAGCAGAGGAATATCCTACATGAAATAAGAAAACGGAAGGCTAATTGGATTGGTCATGTTTTACGCAGAAACTGCCTTCTAAAAGAAGTTATTGAAGGAAAGATAGAGGGGAGGATAGAAGTGACAAGAAGACGAGAAAGAAGACGTAAGAAGATGCTGGATGACCTTGGGTACAGAAGAGGATACTGTCATCTGAAGGAGAAAGCTCTAGATCACATTAAGTGGAGGAATTGTTTTGGAAGAGACTGTGGACCTGTCATCTGACAGATTACTGATGATGATGATAGAAATTTATTTTGTTAAATATTAAGTTTTTATAAGGCAAGCGAAAGTTCCAAAGTCCACGGATCTTTCCTTTATTCGTGTTTAATATGTTGAGGTTCTAAACTACATACCTCACTTTCTTTTCTAAACTGATTACTAAATGACGCTGTCAATATGAAGCCTACAAAGCATCGAAAGGATTATTTATAAATATCAAGCAGTTAACAGAATACAGATAGGCAGGATGAACAGAAGTACATGAGAAAATCCACCCCAGTACCACAATGTCAACCACAAATCCCACGTGACTAGTACTTGGATCAAACCCGGGTCACAAGTTTCGAAGGCAACAAATGTCTCAGCTAAGGACATGGAAGAGTGCTTCTTGAGAAGCGGGTAGTAAATCAGCTAGCCAAAATATTCCTCACATCTCATGAGACCAAGAATTCATTAATGCCTTCACAAGAGCCTGTCTCTCTGCTTTACGTTTCCCAATTAAAATTCTGTTAACATTTCTTATCTCTCTGTGTCACGTGACTGGTTCGGTATTCAAACTGGACAAAAACAGACAGCATGGAGATATGAGAAACTTCCTTTTTCCCCAGGAAAAGGAACTGGCCTAATAGCGAAGGTGCCAGTATGCCTATTTTAACAATTACCTGTAAATGGGAGTACAGAAAACTCCCAGCACGTCAGGTTTATATATCTGAATGGACGTCTAATACAGCAGTGACATAATGAATCAGCGGTCATCACAAACACTTACTCTGTCATAACACTTACTTTAAGCAATTTGAAACCTCTCATGTGTGTACAACAGTGTGAGCAGAGTCCACAGAGGTGCATAAAGGCTATATTCCCTCAAAGTGATCCATGTAGCTTCAAGTTAGAAATCTGCTTTGCAGTGATATTAAAATTGTTGATCGATCTCACTTGTTATTCTACCTTGAATCTCGACCTGATAATCGAGGATCCTGAAATTGGAGCTGAGTCCTTCTTGGCAAGTGGCCAGCCACTCAGCTACTCCAGGTTTTCCAAACATTTCATGGAACCCAAACGTTCATTACAGTGTTCACAAGAGCCTTTCAGCTGTCCCAATTCTGACCCATATCTGACCAGTCCATACCACTCCATTCTATCTCCCTAAGATACATTTTAATATTACCCTCCCACATATATTGATCTTCCTAGGGGTCTCTTCCCTTCTGGCTTTTCCAACAAATCCTAGATTGATTCCTCTTTTCCCCCATGTGTGCTACTAGCCCTTCCTATCTCATCATCCTTGATCTGATCACGCTACATAAAATCTCAACAACAAAAATGATAAGTAATAATGATGACAAAATAACCATCTGCAATAACAATCATAATTAAATTCATCAGCAAGTAACTTCCGAAAAACCTCATGGGTGGAAATTTCAAGATTCACCCTACATGTCACTCCCTTGTGTCTTGCATAATTTTGGCTCTCCAAGAGAAATTCAATGTCTGATTCTTTCTCTCTATACAAAGGAAGTTTTGCTGGCATCAGACAATTAGACAATTACGAAACTTGAACTTAACATAGAAACGAATTGTTGAGCATTGACACCTTGCATGAATGTAGGTTACATGGTTCATTACAAAGGAACAGCAAGTCTTCTGTCTCATTGCATCATGTCTATTCCCTGTGTACTGACATTTTGAAGCAGATGTGTTAAGTGTGGTACAGCATATAAAGGACAAGGTTGATGAGTGACTACTTATACGCATCATTTTTGTTGGATATGACGTTATAAGTGGGCTCCAAAGCATCATCCTATGATATAGGCCTAGAAAGAAATACAGGAGAAAGCAGAGGAATTTCAGAGGATGAAAGTTTATATTACACATGAAGAGATTTACAGAATATTGAGGCAAATCACTTACCAGGATGTCTCTGGCTGTGTCATGCCAGATCAAGGTATTTTTGCTTCTCTAATGTCAAGGCGTGCCACATGTTACCAAGTCTGAAAATCACGAAAGGAAACACTTGTAAAACAAGACAGATTCTATGAGGTTGCGAGGGTTTGTGCAAGAACATCTTCACTGGCACTACAGAAAGTTCCATGGATGGTAGAGATGACTGCAGTGCAGTGATGTGAAGTAATCTGCTGCTGACCCTCACCAGCAGAATCATTCTTAGTTTCGGGACACGGTGTGACTCATGACTTTTTTGTTCCAAGACTCTCTTATATGTTTTGAAATGGGGCTTCCTCTTTGACAGCGCTCGAAACTTCCCCCTTTAACCCAATGTTATATTCCCCTCCATCACCCTGTGACCTATGTCAACAAAAGGATCTTCTGGCTAGTGAAAGTCATCATAGTGTTATCTCCGCTAACACTCTTCTGAACAGAATGTTCAGACAATGAAAGGTAAGTGCAGGCAATTATGGCAGACAGGGAAGCGCAGCAGCTCGAAGGAGATGAGGAGAGGTTCCATCCATGGGACTTTATTCTGTGGCATCAACATAGGCTCCGTCTATTATAGGAAAAACCTAGCATCATCAACAGTGATTTAGACCATCATGGTATCATTAGAAAGCTGATGAATTCTGTTTTTAATGTACTTCATTCATTCATACATCAGTTGGATTTTCAGACATACTCAAGCACAAAATTTTCTCCCTCAAGTTTGCCTATACAAGGTATGACGTAGCCTCATTCATAGAGTTGGCAGGAGGCTACAAGGTGTTATGCAATTTCAGAAAATGGTTCAGCATGTGCTTGGTGATCAGAATGTATGGACTCGCATATTACAGGGAGTAGAAATGACACATTCAGTTCCAAACACCCTCCTACATTTGCTGCCAGCTCTTTCATTGAACCATTCATAATCTGACTAGTTGCCTCATGCACCTGTTGAGATTACTGATAAGTCACTGTTTTCCATGTTTATTTATTGTAGGACCAGGGTGGTCATATACTCTCATTTACTTGCAAGTAAGATAAGTAAAAGTAAAGCTATCCCTGTACCAGGCCGTGAAGGCCCATAGGGTTGTGAGATGTTGAAGGTCCCACATTATCTAGACAATCGGCTCAAAGATGGTGGTAAGGTTGTCAGCCTTACGCACCGGCCGCGCTTGACTACCCAGGAAACTTAATTAATTTTTGGTACTCATTTCTGTTAGAGGCTGAGTGAACCACAGGGCCATAGTGCGGCCCTGAAAAAAATCCAATGACCTCATCGGGACTTGAACCCGAGACCTTCAGGCTAGTAAAGAAAATCATGTCCAGCCTTTGCTACACAGATGGCATTTCTTGTAGTTGGACATTAGTTTCATTCTCCTTTCATATATATCAGAGCAGGGATAGATCAGCCATTGTGGTGACTGGATTAGGGGCTGGATGACCAAGGAATCAGGGTTTGATTCCTGACAGGATCAGAAGGTATTCTCTTTTCCACATGTCCAGTTGGGTTTTCTGTTTATTTGGGGGCTCTTTCCATAGGGGTGAAGTTGAACATGCTTCCGTATGTACCGTCGCTGTTAAGAATGCGTGGAAATATACACATACCCTTTATACTGTCTACTTGGTGAGGTGCTTAATTAAGCACAGGGCAACTTCATCTTTCTTTTATTTCATGAAATATACCACATATCAAACATGCCAGGAAATACATTCATGGTGCAAGAATAATAAGGGTGGCAGTTGTACAGGCTTGAAAATTCGTCTGATTCTGAATGCATGGTTATGTCGTTACACTGTTTAGGTGACTTACATGAAGGTCATGTCTATCTGTGAATGACCTTGTATTGGTTTGATGTATAATATTTTCAATAAATGCTGCCATTCAACAACTCTGGTTGAAATACTACAGAAAATAACAGACAATATACATGAAGACCTATATGCATTTCTGTGCCCATCTCAAGGGCAACTGTTAAAACAGCTATTGGTTCAAGAGGTGGTTAAGCAAAAAGGGTAGAAAAAATTAAACACACACGTTATGTTCAGCTCATTTCTTCAGATCTGCAAATAGTTAAACAAAAAATTCTTTTGCTGACTCGAGGTCTGGACATTATTCATAAGATAATATATATCAGAAGTCTTGGCATCAATGTGTTGAAAGTTTGAATTCTTGCAACCTAATATCTGCATCTGACACAGCTGGACAGATTTCGGAAGAATAAAAAGGCACGGAGGGAGAAGATGGAGACTTTCACAAAAAATTGATGTGCAAGTTCAGATCTTTGGCCACATCAATCCCATAATAAAGTTCATTTACGGTCATATATGGAATTGTTTCATGTGTATCACCAGCTGCTAATCTAATATTATATAAAAAACTTAAGTAATTTTAATAAAATAGAAGAACTGCCATTTGAAATTTTGTGCACTACATCATGGAATACAGCGCCTCCACTCTTACTTGACCTGATATAATTTGCATCAAAGTTACTCGCCTGCAAGTTATTCTCGGAAGATTCAACGAGCAACTGACATGGATTAACAGTGGATTTCAGTTAATCACTTTCCTTGCTGTTTAAAAATTCTTTGCATCTGGAACCATTTCAAAAATACATAAATTTCTTATCACCCAAATAATTTATAATAAAGTTGTCCCTGTACCTGCTTAATTAAGAGCTAATGCCATGAAGACATATGGGGGAGTGGAGGGATTGTTCCACAATTGTTGACCTTGGCACTGGATAGGGATGAGTAGCCGGTCAGCTTCATGCTCTGGCAGCTTTGCCTCCTAGGGAAATAGTGCCCAGTAACCACTGCACAGGAGACACTGGTGGGCCTCAGAGCCAGTCAGAATGCTTTCAACTAGAGAAAAATCTGTCATCCCTGCCCACAATTGAACTCCGGATATCCAGCCCAAAGCCCATCACTACACTGGCTCAGCTATCCTGCCACCTAATAATCTTATCAGTAGTGAAAGTTACCGCTTACCTTATGCTGATGTCCGTGCTTCTTTCTGTAGTATACAGAGCAGCAAACTTCTTTCTCCACTCTTTAGCAAATAAAATATATGAATTGGGAGGCCGCTTTATTTTGTTTCCACAAGCTGGCCTTCCCTCTT